TACTCTCATAAATCTTCCCTTTGGCCTGAACTTTTTTTAATGTCTGAATCTCCTGACAAGGTATTATATTGTATCTCCTGCAACAGGGCAACGTATAGGCTTCCTGCTTGAGCGGCTACAGGGATTGCTCCTATGCTTTGTTTCTGTAATGTTTTTAATATAGTTGTATCCCTGGGCATAATTACTCATATATGTGCTTTATATGTCTTCGAATATCCCTACGCACTTATAGACCTAGTCTAAAATGTAAAATATACAGCAATGCCTCCATACTACATACTGTTACTATAGTGCTTGGTAGCATGGGCGGACTGACCATTGGGGAACTCGGGCACTGCCCGAGGGCCCGGGGTCATTAGGGGGCCCCATGAGATGTCCCTGGTACCTTTCATAGGCTTCTTTGGGTGTTGTTTGAGTGTGGGCAAGGACACAGGGGCCCTATGATCCCCTATTGCCCGGGGGCCCCATGAGTTGTCAGTCTGCCCCTGCTTGGTAGTATATACTGTGACAGTTAAATTGTATTCTAAACAAATTCAATCATATTATAAGCTTTTCAATCAAGCATCGGGTGTTCATTTCAAAAGAAACATCTTACAGTAGCAAAGAAACTGGTAGGTTTGATCAGCTGCTGTACAAGTCAGTAACAGCTTGTAAACATCCTCCTTATGTCTGGTTTCACATTGGGATGAACAACATCAGTTGCTCTCACTGTGTGCAGGGAAGTCAATGTTGTTGGTTGCATAGGTACCAGGCTTCCCAATGAGACTGGAGAGCAAGCTAAAGGCAGCAATGGGAGAGTGGGACCCCCTTCTGCTGCCTTTAGAGAGTTATTTTACATATTTTTTTAGGATCCCCATTGTAATTTGGTGAAATATCAGTAGCGAAATAAACAGGCCCCCAATGTCTCACTTTGTGAGACAGAGAAAGGGCCTGTGGACATAGATTCCCCAAATCCTTTCTCTGCAGCCTCATGCACTGGACTGTGAATGAATGGGAAGTACTCTGTGCTGAACAACCTTATGTTCATTCACAAACTGAAGCATAGTAAACACTTGTTACAGTTATAAATGAATGCAGCAAGTGATCGGTACAGATCACTCACTGTGTTCAGTCAGAAAAGAAAGGGGCTTGTAAATTACAAATTTACTGGCCTCATCCACTGCTCTCCATCCTGAAATATCCCCCTGTGTGCCCGCAGCAGCAGCTGGCTAGAAAGGAGAGGAGGGAATCTGGCAGCACTGGGGGCGGGGGGGAAAGGAAGGGGCAGGAGGAATCTGTGCCACACGGGGTGATCAGGGGTGTACCCAGGCACATCTGAGACATCCCATGCACACACCTATGCGTAAACATTACTTAGCATTCTTGCATGTAATAAATATAACTGATATAACCGATGCTGGTCAACTTTAATGATACTTATCTGTCTTGAACAGGCACAATAAAATCCCAATATGAAGCATATTCCAAATGTGTCAGTTATCTATCTTATTTCATGTCCATCTTGAGAACATACTGACATTTATATGCAATATATAATTGTATGTATGTCGCTTTCAACAATGATTAGAACACACCCACCCATTCTCCATAGGAAGATCAAATATAAAATGGTGGTACCTGTAACAACATTTGATCAAAGAGACACTGGGCAGAGACATTAAATAATCATTCAGGGCAAAGGGACATTGTGTTTCTAAAGGGCACCCCTTACCCTTGTTATACTCACATTACCAGCTACAGCATGTCACACTGTCCCTGCCCTTGCTGTCATCAGGTAGATACCCAGCACTTGTGGGCATTTTGGAGCATGTGACCTCCTCAAATTGACAGTGCAAGGGTCTATCACCCATTCCCTGAACCTGAGCACTATCACGTGACAGAGGGGGGTAACAACATTGTCCTCCCATTGCCTTCCACACAGGTGACACACTGGATTCCAGTGCCAGCTGTAGTGAAAATAGGAATTTGTGCAGGATCACTTGAATGTCCCTTACATATTCTAATAGCACACAGGTAAAAGCAGCAGCTAGGTCCACCTTTATGTCAAGCACAAGCATTCTCTGCTCGGGAGTAAGTGTCTTTACCGCTTGGTGAATCTGCTCCTCAGTCAATTTCCTCCAGTTCACCATTTTGCTCTTGGCACCATTAGACAGCTGCAGCGGGGTCAATGTCCACTTCTTCTGGCTCATTATTTAGGTTACTGGCACTCAGAACAGAGGATTCCTCGGATGAGCCCCCACATATAGCACTACCCCCATAGGAGCCACTGATTAGAATGGGTCTTCTGTTATTTGCCTTAACTTTTTCAAGAACCTCAGCCCCTCTAACACATCAGGCTAAGTATAAAAAAACATGCAACATCACAGGAAATCATTGGAAGTAATACTTAGTACCCAGGAGTAGCGCTACTTCAAAGAAAAACACACCAAACCAGGTAGTAAAGGCAAACCTAATATATTATTGCCCAATATGGTTGGTAAATAGGCAAGCATAAAATAGATTAACAATGGTAATGACACAATTAAGCATACAAAGAAATCAACAGTAACAGTAAGGACAAGGCATAAGATGACATTTGGTGTTCAGATCAGCATAAACAGTAGCATAAATAGTAGCAGGACCACCTCAAGTGTAGCACTATGAAATTCTAAACTATAATGCCATATACTTAGTTAATTTATGGGAGCAATGCTAGGGGCAGCACAGTGGCTAAATGGTTAGCACTTCTGCCTGGCAGTACTAGGGTTGTTGGTTCAAATCCCAACCACAGCACCACCTCCCTGGAGTTTGCATGAGTTTTTCATGTTCTCCCCCATGCCTGCGTGGGTTTCCTCTGGGTATTCCGGTTTCTTCACACACTCCAAACACATGCTGGTAGGTTAATTGGATCCTGTCTAAATTGGCCCTAGTATATATGAATGTAAATTAGGGACCTTAGATTGTACACCCCATAAGGGTTAGGGACTCATGTGAATGTACAATATATATATATATATATATATATATATATATATGTAAAGCACTGCATAAATTGACAGTGCTATATAAGTACCTGAAATAAATAAAAAAAGATAGTCCTAGACTGACTGCATAGGCACTTTCCAAAGGAAAATGGTAGAGGAGGGGAAAGGGAACAAAGGTGAATTGCAGAATAATTATTATGGGAGGGGCAGGCCTTTGAGATGTTCTTCTGCAGGCTATCATTGGGGCCCTGTCTATAGTTCTCCCTCTACTGACTGGAGGGGATAGTGCAATATAACAGTAAGCAGTGAATTAAGAGCATCACATTTTTAAGCACATACAACTGAATCCATTTTCCACTGTCAAAATTGTAAATGCAAATTTGTTTTACTATTATTTCACTTTCATTTTAACAAAGCTACTTAGACATAAAAAAAAGCATTTTGATGGTATTCTTCGTAGCAATTTACAACAACTAAGGAGAAGCTCTATAAAATTGATATTTGTTGTTGTGAGGAAATTCAGTGTTAATTCTGGAATGTTTAGTTCCTAATATGCTTAGTGAAAATCTCAGTTTTCCATGTGCTTCCAGCCCCTTCACTCTGTAGTGAAGATAGGTAATTTCTTCTGGCATTTGCTCATTTTGCTACATTTTTTAAAGCTAAACTCTAGGCAGATATAAAAGACTGAAAATAATTCAGCTCTGTAATCATTGTTACATTAATTGTGGTTTTTAAATGCAAGCACTGTAAGTAGCTAATCCTGACCTAATATCAGGCTATGGAAGTCCCTGTAAACTTTAGATGGAGTATGAGAAGGAGTATGAGGAGCCAATCATTTCATGTGCCAGCAAGAAACATTTGTATAGGAAGAAAAAAAGGATTACCTGGATGACCTGGGCTCAAAGGAAGTGGGTTAAATAATCCCAGCCATTAGACTGAGTATACCTAGCAGCAGAAACAAATTATTGCAGGGGAAATCTCTTGACTGAAGGTGAATACCACATCAAGAGCTGATTTTGTTATTTTATCTTTTAATGGGCTATGGAGCTGTATCTTGTTATTTTTGACTAGAGTACTGCTTTTTAATGTGCCACATTAGCAATTCTAAGGTTTTCTGCAAACATAATATAAACTAAGTGTACCTTCGAATCCTTTGACTTCAGGTCACAATTCTTGATTAACTGAGAATTAGATGTAAAGGCTCAGAGAGAAGAACTTTCCAAAAGTGCTGCTCATCACCTTGTACTTTTTCAGTGCCGGTACATTGTCATCTGAGTTATTAACTAATTCATGACTTTGGCAGGAAAAGAGGCAATGCATCTTGTTTTCAAGAGCAAGACAATGTGTTCTCAGCCACTGGATTTTTAGCTGACAACTCCCAATTAAAATCCTGGCACCCTCTCTTTGTTCAAGTCACTCGTAAATCAGCACTAGAAACTATCCATCTCCCACAGGCACAATTGATAGTGAGAAAACATCTGAGGTTTACTGTCGGATTAAAGATGTAAAATGTTAAGAAAGTAAATCAAACCTATTTTTTTCTTTCTTATAGAACAGATAAAGTGTATCCCTTTTAATATAGCTATTAATGGTTATATAAAGTGAAAATGTATAACTCTTAAAATCAGATCTCAAATCAATATCCAGTTGTAATACACATGTAAAGTGCATACTATGTATCTGTATCTGTTTTTTGGATGCACCTATGCAAAGAATAAATAATAAATATCCTGTTTCAGTAGCTTCTGAATGCCATCACATACAATGCAGTAAGCTTTTCCTCACCAAAGATTAGACTTAAGGGACATATTTAAAAAGCAGTGAATGTGATATTCACAAAAGCATGCACTGCAGGAGAATGTTCCAGGTCCATTCACTGCAGGGGAATTTGCACCATTTAAATCACAGTGATTGATTCACCTACAGGGAATGTTTCATGGATTTCACATCCACTGTTTTATAAATACCTCCCTTGATCTGTGCATTGTGGTCTTCAGTATACAGAAACTACCAGGGGCGGACTGACAACTCATGGGGCCCCCGGGCAATAGGGGATTATGGGGCCCCTGTGTCCTTGCCCAAACTCAAAAAAGGCAATGAAAAAGGTACCAGGGGCATCTCATGGGGCCCCCTACTTACCCCGGGCCCTCGGGCAGTGCCCGAGTTTCCAAATGGTCAGTCCGCCCCTGGACACTACTGCAGATCACAATGAAATAAGAAACCATATGGCGCATACCATGATTTTAAAGTGGCCCTGAACTCAAAAAGGGAAGAGTTTTTAATGTTATAGAGAACATCTAGATATGTTATCTGTGTGAAAAATTAACGTTTTGAATTCCCCCTGAAAAATATCAGTGCACATCCTGTGCCTTGAGCCTCAAATATCTGCAGTGTGAGATCATCTAGGGCACTGCTATTTGTGACTGATAGTCTCAAAAGATTTGAAGTGTGATTTGCTGATGATCATTCTCCTTGCTGAAGAGGAAACTCTACCTGAGGTGGATCCTTTCTTTGGGCACATTTTTCACAATTCAGATATTGTTTAAGTATAAGCAGGTGATGGGCAACCTAAATGTTGTGTTCCTCAAAATTGAACTCCAGGCAAACAGATAAACAGATGAAACACATTGGGGTTTATTTACTAAATCTGGAGAGTTTACCCTCTTGTGCAGCTCTGCATAGGAACAGTTTTTTTTGTCAATGCTTAATTTTACAAACTGAAGTTAGAAGCTGACTGGTTACTATGCACAGCTGCACCAGATTTTGCACTTTCCAGTTTCTAGGCTACTTTGACACGGAACTGTAGCAAAAACACATATGCATTTGCAAGGTGAGTTTTTATTAATTATAGATCAATTTACGCAGTACTTTACATATATATATATATATATATATATATATATATATATATTGCACATTCACATCAGTCCCTAACCCCCAAGGAACGTACAATCTAAGGTCCTTAATTCACATTCATACATACACATACTAGGGCCAATTTAGACAGGAGCCAATTAACCTACCAGAAGGTCTTTGGAGTGTGGGAGGAAACCAGAGTACACCCATGCAGGCACATGGAGAACATGTCAACTTTAGGCAGGTTGTGCCATGGTTGGGATTCAAACCACCGACCTTAGCTCTGCCAGATGGAAGTGCTAACCATTTAGCCACTATGCTGCAAACACTGGACATGTGACTCAAAAATCACACCAAAAATAATGTGGGTGTATTGTTTTATGCATTTTTGCTATGTTTTCCATTAATTTCAATGGGGAGGTGTGTTTTTGGTGCTTTTTTTACCACCCCAAATCTGCATCAACAATGCAGCAAGTAGGATTTAAAAAAACACAGTGGACCCACAACAGGTCAGTGTGGAGAGTACCATAGGATCACACATGGTCACACGTTTTTCTTCTGCTTTGACTCAAAAGCAGAAGAAAAATGGATCAGTGTGAAAGCAGCCTTAGTAAAGAAACCCCACTGTAGGTCCTACAGGGACCAGCAGAGATTCAAACCATCTATGGGCATGTTTATTGTACCAAATTCAATTGTTGCGTGGATTTCATATGCTATTATCACTGTGTTTTCCCTGCAGGGATGGCTCCCTCCCCTGCTGGGAGAACACAATAGCGACTTAGGAGGGATTCCCCCACCAACATTGACTGTGTTGGTGGGGGAATCAAGCAATTATCTTTCCCTGCCTAACTTGTCAGATTTGTATTTCTGGCCTTCCAGTCCAAAGATTTAATTAGCTGTGCCATACAGCACAGCCCTCTTTGCTCAGGCAAGAGACCTAACTTTTCTCTTGTTCAGAAATAGAAAACAAATCTGAATTTATATATATATATTGATGTATTTCATAGCTGGTTGTTTAGGGTAAAATAGTCGGCCACTGAAATTTATTGGTAAAATGTAAAAAGTAATAGTAGTAATAGTAGAAACAAACCATTTCTAGAAAGCGTATGGTGAATACCTTTGTTTCCACATGGCCTTTTTCTGTTAATGAATACATAGTATTCAAAGCCCTCCAAAAAGGTTCCCAGGGGTCCTTGATTTCCAAGAAGACCTGAGATTATGACAAGGAGCAGAGGCATGCCAGACCTAAGATATTCCATGTTGAATGATGACTATAGGTCTGTACAGATAAGGATTAAAGGAACTTTATTTACACACGTAACACGTTTTACAGTTTAACGGCTGCTTCATAACAGCATACATCACTGTACTGTGTTCAGATTAGGTTTTCAGTATCCAGAACATTCACACCAGTTATTTCCAAGAAAAGCATTGCATATGCAAATAAAAACACAATTTTCTTTATCCATGCTGGCTGAAATCTGTTTTCTAAATTTTAATCATTGCACCTGTGACTACAAAATATCTGTGAAATAAAGGAAAAATCTGTACATTTGCAAGCAAGGTTTGCTGAGTGAAGAGAAGCTGTGATTTAGCTGAGTAACTTAACAGTTTAAATCAAGAGCATAGCAAACAAGGGAAGTCTTTGCTCACAAATTATCATTGTTATTCTTGTGGTAAGAGCAAGAAATCATGTTGTGGTCGCATTTTGTTACTTGGTAATTCCCTTAGTGAAAGCATCTCCATGTACAGTTGCAAGAAAAAGTATGTGAACCCCTTGGGATTACGTGGAGTTTTGCATGAATTGGGCATAAAATGTGCTCTGTCACAACAATAGAAGAACACAGTCTGCTGAACATAATACTACACAAACATTAGATGTTGCCATGGTTTAATTCCACATAACATGCAAACATTCACGGTGCAGGGAGGAAAAAGTATGTGAACCTTTGGACTTAATAACTGGTTGACCCTCCTTTGGCAGCAATAACCTCAACCAAACGTTTCCTGTAGTTGCAGATCAGACATGCACAATGATCTGGAGTAATTTTGGACCACTCCTCTTCACAAAACTGTTTCAATGTAGCAATATTCTTGGGATGCCTGGTGTGAATCGCTCTCTTAAGGTCATGCCACAGCATTTCAATCGGATTGAGGTCAGGACTCTGACTGGGCCACTCCAGAAGGCGTATTCTGTGCTGTTGCAGCCATTGTTTTGTTGAATTACTTGTATGCTTTGGGTCATTGTCCTGTTGCATCACCCATCCTCTGCGGAGCTTCAGTTGGCAGAATGATGGTCGTACGTTTTCCTGCAAAATGTCTTGATAAACTCTGGAAATAATTTTCCCATCAATGACAACAATCCGTCCAGGCCCTGAGGCAGCAAAGCAGCCCCAAACCATGATGTTCCCTCCGCCATGTTTTACAGTGGGGATGAGGTTTTGATGTTGGTGTGCTGTGCCTTTTTTTCTCCACACATAGCATTGTGTTGTCTTCCCAAACAACTCAATCTTGGTTTCATCTGTCCACAGTATGTTTTGCCAGTAGTGCTGTGGAACATCCAGGTGCTCTTTTGCAAAGTTCAAACGTGCTGCAATATTCTTTTTGGACGGCAATGGCTTCCTCCGTGGTGTCCTCCCATGTACTCCATTCTTGTTTAATGTTTTCCTTATTGTAGATGTGTCAACAAAAATGTTAGCATGTGCCAGAGATTTCTGTAGGTCTTTAGCTGACACTCTGGGATTCTTCTTTACCTCATGCAGCATTCTGCGCTGTGCTCTTGCAGTAATTTTTACAGGACGACCACGCCAAGGGAGAGTAGCAACAGTGCTAAACTTTCTCCATTTGTAGACAGTCTGTCTTACCGTGGACACATGAACATCAAGGCTTTTGGAGATACTTTTGTAACCTTTTCCAGCTTCATGCAAGTCAACAATTCTTGATCGTAGGTCTTCTGAGAGCTCTTTTCTGCGAGGCATGGTTCACATCAGACAGTGCTTCTTGAAACCAGTAAACCCAAAACAGGTGTGTGTTTTTTAAGGGCAGGATAGCTGTCAGCAACACATCCAATATCATCACACTGATTGGAGTCAAGGTTGGCTCACTCCTGGCTCCAATTAGCTCTGGGAGAAGTCATTAAGCTAGGGCCTCACATACTTTGTCCTCCCTGCACTGTGAATATTTACAGGTTATGTGCAATTAAACCATGGCAACATCTAATGTTTGTGTAGTATTATGTTCAGCAGACTGTGTTCTTCTATTGTTGTGACTTAGATGACGTTCAGAGCACATTATATGCCCAATTCATGCAAAACTCCACATAATCCCAAGGGGTTCACATACTTTTTCTTGCAACTGTAGTTTATCATTACATGCTCCTTATGCTGTCCTAAGCATTTTGGCAATGTAATGTGGGCTAAAAGACAAAAGCAAAGTGGTCTAGATAGTGCAAAACATTATTTATGTCATTATAGGTAAAAAAACTGCATATACATTTCTTACTTTCCTATTCACACTGAACAGTGAACATGCGCAGCATAGTGTACAATTTTGGCATCTGCCAAGATAAACAAACTCCCACTTGTGTGGGAGTAATGTCATCGCAGCCCAGTTAATTGAAACGTCTGAAGATCGGAAACCAGAAGAAGACCAGCCAAGGATGTCAGTGACCAGTGAGGAAGATCCACGACTTCATAGTCCTGGGATATATACCATGTATATTCATTTGAGCAGAATGTTTATGTAATAACAAGGAAGTATATCAGCCTGTAATTATTTGGAATTTAGAGCTATGAATGTTTGCTATACTTGTAGCCAGGGGCAGACTGACAACTCATGGGGCCCCCGGGCAATAGGGGATCATGGGGCCCCTGTGTCCTTGCCCAAACTCAAAAAAGCCTATGAAAAAGGTTCCAGGGGCATCTCATGGGGCCCCCTACTGACCCCGGGCCTTTGGGCAGTGCCCAAGTTTCCAAATGATCAGTCCGCCCCTGCTTTTAGCCCTTGTAGTGCTCAATTTGTAACTCCTATGGTGGGGCCACATCATGTAAAACTAAGGAAATAATTTTTTTCCCCTTCCCCATTCTCTGTGTGGCTGGTAGGGGATGCCTGCGGGTTTCCTGCCAGATGCCCTCTCTGTCTTTAGTATGCCACAGTTTTATGTTTTGACATCTTTTCAACTTTCTGTAGAATCACACCTCATTTGGGCTGTTGTAGAGACTGAAATGAAATTGCCTTTACAGCTAGGGGAAAGTGTAACTTTGGTTTGTGGTGAACAGATAAAGCTGTTTGTAATGATGTGACATAATTATGTTAATGATAGAAAATGGTGGTGTGTAAGGTTACTATGATGTCTGAGGCTGCTATATTTCAAAGTGTTGAACGTGTTACTATACAACTTATGACATACAGTATGATATATCTTTGTTACAGAGACACTGTTACAGCACAACTTAACAGGGTACAACATCGAGTTATCATTC